ATAGTATGTCTGTGTTTTTCCTTTAAAATTTGTTTGCAACTTTTCACAAGGTAGAAAGTACCAAAAGTTTAACAATAATTCACAAAATGAAAACCTTTAAATCCATTTTTCCTAGAAATTAGAAAAACACCATAATTGTTCAATTTTAGCAGCGGAGCTCTTTATTGGATTTTCTCACAGTAAGCTCTAATAGTTGTGACCCACGGGGTCTCTTGCTCTGACCCACTATCCTCATCGTACTTCTGAAGATCAATCTCCATTTCTTTTGGCTGACCTTTCCCAAATCCCATGTTCACACTGGGCAGTGCCAGTGCCCACCGGAATGAACTCACTGCTTCACTGTTTTGATCATCTAACGTGATTCTATTCAGCCAATTCTCTTCCACGCAGTTCTGCTGTTAAGACTTGCAATTTACTGCCACATTCTGATTTTGTGCAGGTAAGGGTGGGCTTACAGTAGGGGTGGGGAGCAACATTGTAGAGAAAAGTCACTTCTATTCTCAACTCCTCTGCCTGATTTCCTTTTCTGTCACTAATACCTGAAACCCTGAGAATGCTAATTTTTTTACCTACTAAACAGCCATTTTAGGCAAGATGATAATTTAGTCTATAACTTAAACTTCGAAACATAATGTACACTATGTAAGAACCTGCAATAATTGTCCATAAAGTAGTCCAACCTTACCCTATATCTCCCCACCTTTCAGTGCCGTCTGTACCATTCAAAGTGCCATTTCTTAGTCTATCAACTCTGCACAAGCACTCACCTCTATATGTTTTCCCCTGGCACCTCTAAGTCTCTTAAGTAAACCATCAGGCCTACCTTTTTCTACCTTTTCCCTCAACTCTCTCCCTATTGAATAGAGAGCAATAACATCTACCATTGATTGCCTACGGGCTTTAAATACTTTACTAAATGTCTTATATATACTACCTCATTTAATTCTCAAACATCTTATCAGGTAAGTATTATTCTCTCAATTTTCTAGATGGTGCGGAAGGGGCTCTGAGAGGTTAAATGACCAGGTCAAGGTCACACTGAATGGCAGGCAGAGCCACAATCTGAACCCAAACATAAACTTTATCCTCTATCAGTTACCCTCAGGATAATACTATATAAAATGTAAATGAGAATACAGAATACATCTTTTTTAAAATGTGAACATGTTTCACAATGACAATATTCCTGAAAAGTTGGTGTAAAGAAATTTTTCATTGATTGGTTTTCATACTCTCATTTCTTTTTATCTTCAATTGATGACTTCTAATTCGATAGCTTCAACATTTCCCCACCAACTCCCACTTCAGCCTTTTGATGAATATTTAATAATTTCTAGACTAACACTTAAAAGTTTTTCCACATAGAGGAGCTACTACTTAAAAGAAATTTCTAGTAAATCTCTTTTTTTGGTAAGTAAAAAATTCATGTACAATGTATATAAGCAAAACTCCATATATTTTTACACTGACATTTATAAATGCTTGACAAGTAGTTGTGCCTACTGTATGTATATAACTATACATACAGTGCCACAGGGCTCATTTAATTCATCTGAGAGAAGTCTTGCCTCCTAGAACCTCATAATCTATTTAGAAAATAAAATGTTTAAAACATTTAAATAGTAATACAACATATGATAGAATTAGGTGTCAACATGAGTAAAACAGTAACTTCTATAATAATTTATAAGTGGGGGAGAGATAAATTTGACTGGGATGGTATAGCACCGCTTCTTGAGGAAAGTAGAATAGGAAAAATATGTAGATGGAGAGAAGGAAGGACTATCCCAGGGAGGGCCCTGGAGAATCAACAAAAGTTCAGAGCAGGGAATGAGCATAACAACTCTTAGATCAAAGAATGACCCTCTTTTGGAGATGAGTTACTTTCTTAACAAAGACAAGCATGGTGTGAACTACAGATAGACATGTTGCAAGTCTATAAAACAAACCAGCAAGCAAAAGTGTGGATGAATAAAGGAGTATTTACTAGTCAGGAAATAAAACATCATTTGATAAGAGTTTGGAAAGGTGAGCCAGGACCAAACTGCAGAGGGTCCTGTCCAGGAAAGGGGACAACAGTGTTTAAAACACTCATCTAATACACAGGGTGGATTTGAACAAGGAAGGAAAAGTAGCAAGTGTCTGGTTAGGAAGGTATTACTATTGAATGAGCTAAAGAAGGTGACAGTGGATAGTCAAGAATTGTGGCAGTAGAAATAGAAAGGAATGATTCCAATAGCCATTGCATGGGACGAATTAACAGACCTTTCTGAATAACTGAATGCAGGGTGTAAAGAACAGTGAGAAATCAACATA